TTATCAGGTTAAAATGTCATTTTACATGCATTATGAAACTACTAAAGTATATATAAATGGGGGAAATTACTTTCTTTGACAGATTTATTTTGATATTCAATGACTTACTTTTTAATAAACCTTGAAAATACTTTGTCAGAAACCTCCATACTCTATTCTGTTTACAGAGGTCTGACCTGATTGTATTCACCTTGTTATAGAATTAATAATGTAAATTTAATGAGTGTCACTTAATTCTCAGGAATTAGACCTCTTTATTAAAACAGGTTGTTATTAGAGGCATTTATCAACTGGAAACCCTCACATGCATTATATTGACTTAATATCATTGCTTTCAATTCTTTGGGTTGCTTTTACTGATTTTAGTTAGGATAGGGAAATTTTTCGACTAGAATAAAAACTAATGATTTACTTTCATTTTAACCATTTATGTTACCTTTTCCTTTAACTCACTGCTCTGCTTTCTGCTTGTTCTTAATTCTTTGCACATATTTACTTTGTATATATGTGGAATGTCATTTTCTAACTTGAAAACAGAAAAAAAATCTTTTTGAGAAGAGTAGTGATCTTTGTAGACAAAAATCTGTTCACTTTATTAAAATCAGTTTTTTATAGATGACTTTGAAAGTGAAGGTTGTCAGAAGGTGCAAACATCCAGTTGTAAGATAAATTACTCCTGGGAATGTCATGTGCAGCATGGTAACTGGTTAAAAATACTATATTATATATTTGAAAGTTGCTGAGAGTAGATATGAAAAGTTCTCATCATAAGAAAAAGACTTGCAACTATGTATGGTAATGGATGTTAACTAAACTTATTGGAGTGATCATTTTGCAATATATGCAAATATCAAGTTGTTGTACACCTAAAATGAATACAATACTATATGTCAATTATAATTTTTAAAAAATAGATAAAATAATAAAATAGAAGGTGGTCTCTAAACATGCCATGTGAGAACATTTGCTGAAGCTCTAGTTAGAAATTATTTCCAAATGGTTGATCAGTTTAATGGTGTTAGAAATTTGTTTCATGCTTTGCATGAACTATATTTAGCCTGGGATTTTTCTTAAAATATTTAAACAATTCATACAATTTCTTCACCTTTTGCCAAGTAATGTTTACTATTCTATGAGACCTGTAGAGAAATGTGAATTCTATATGGCAGGGAAGCAAACACTTAAATAATTAAAGATTGAACACACTTTAATGATATTAATAAAAGTTGTAATACATAGAGCTCTAAAATGGACTGGTTACAGTTAATATATACAATATTACATGGCTCGATAGAACAGAAAACTACCTTAGAAATACGGTTTAGCATTTCCTAAGTGTAGTCTGTGGGGTGGGAACCTAGTCATGCGGTATGTTCCATGGAGGGGAAAGAGGACTTGGACAAGTAGCTGTGTGAAATGGTGCCTACAATGACGTGGAGATCTCTTGGAGGTTTAATAAATGTGTGTATTTGCTAGCCTAGTCAAGACTCCATCAAGATACCTGTTTAATTTTTGTTTTTTACTCAACTTTTCTCAAGCTGTGGAATGATTTTGTTCTTTAAAACAAATGTTCTCACACCCCTTTCCCAACAGCTTCTGGTAAGGAGTCATCTGATGACCCCAGGGCACTGTGACCAACGGTGCTCAGTGCCTCAGTGTGGTTGTGGCTACTGAGACAAAAAGCAGATAAATCCATTTCCAGAGCTGCACAACTAACTTATAACTAGCAAGGGCTAGAACTAAAACCCAGGTCTCCCGACTGCATAGGACTTCTGAAGCCGTGATTGAGAGACCAGAGCAGGACAGCGTCAGGAGCTAGGGCATGAACCACATCCGGGTTCTGAAGTATCTTTTGTACCAAGAGCTAATTAAGAGGGACTTAAGAGTAGAATGCTGAACTTCCTTGAGATCAGATAAAGGAGTCAGAGCTGAAGCTTGACTGCCTCGGATGGAAGTCTTTCTGTTGTTTGACCAGCAGCCTAACATTCAGCATGTTACTTCCCTTCTCTGTGCCTTAGTTTTCTTATCTGGAAAAGGGGCACAGTAGTTTCTAGCGCATAGGATTTGTTGTGAGAATTATTAAATGAATTAACCCATTTAAACTTCGATCACACCTGGCACACAATAAACATTCAGTAACTGTTATTTCTATTTTTGTAGTTTTGGGGAAGTAGCAAGCGTGACACCCTACAGTTATGGTGCTCTAATACAGGGTGGTCGTTTTAGGGAAGAGAGAAGCATGCTGTATGTGGTAGTTAGAAAAACCTCTGAAGTAGCAAGTGAGCTTTCTGGTCATTCATCTGCCTGATTCATAATTCAGCCTAATTGAATAGCCATTCAATGAAAGCGCCTCTAAATATCCAAATACAGCAGAAGGAATATATGTCTGGAGTGTCAGCACATCAAGGTTAATACATAAAACAAGAGGAGGGGCATACAATTAAATGAACAAGACGACTTTCTTAAAGAAACATGCCATTTTAGTGTAAAAGCAGAATACCAATCTGAGGGGGTTTTGCGGGGGGGGGGCGTATGTGAATAATGATTTAAACTGAACCACCTGTTTTTGTGTCCTTTACCCTGGAAAACTGACTTTTTTAAGGGCAGAGATCATGCTCTATTCATCTGTGTACTTAGTAAGCAACACGGTGTTTGACAGGCAGTAGAGAGTCAATAAATACTGAAAGAAGTAATGAAACTGTGATGTTCTTGGATCTTTTGCTTTGAATGGGCCATCCTGTGACAACTAATTTGAAACATATGAACTAGAGCCAGCGTCATTGGTAACGTATGTCTTTTCTTCAGAAAACCTTTTATAAGTAGTAATAACAGCTATTTTTGATCGCTCTGAGCCAGGCTGTGATCTAAATTCTTGTTTGTGCACCATCTCATGTAATCATTAGAGCAGCCAGGTAAGTAGGTGTCATCAAGAGGCAGTTAGAATCTGAACCTGGACCTGTTTAATTTAAAAGACTATGCTTCTCAGACTTGCCATCTTACGTCATTATTTGAATTCTCTTTTCCCTAATGTTACTGTAGCAATATATTTAGAAACACACTGTCAGAACACTGGGGATATGCTTTAAATTCCAGCTGGTAGGTTGGTCACTTTTCAATAAAAAGGTGCCACATCTGTTTCCTTCTGAGACTGAAAATCTTCTTGTGGTTATATATTTTATCCCTAATATTGTCACATCTAGATTGTCATTTGTAGTCAACGTTATTTTGGGCAACGAGTAGAGAAATTAACCATTTAGATACTTCGCGGTGCCTGAGCTCTTTTCTCTGGAGTACTGGGAATGCATGATGGCCTGTGACAGAAGTCTTCACAGCTAGTTTTCATTTTTCAAGGAAAAGAGACTTTGGGCTGACCTCTGAGGTGCGCTGTAGGCTTGTAATTTGACTTAGGGATGCATCTACTCACTACTAACCTCACACGATCAGAGGATAACGCCGAAGTCACAAATATGGGTATACTTTGTTTTCTACAGTAGATATTTGTTTTCCATGCAACTTTTAAGATATGTTTTCATCAGTTCAGCTGCAGATTTCCACAACTCCCGTTTTCAAGTGAGCTGTACTGCAGTGCTAACAGACCAGCTTGAAATTGCCGGTCACCTGCCTGCCCCTGCCTTAACTGCACTTACTCTTAACTCCTCTGGGGCGACTGCCACTCTTGCCAAAAAATGCTAGAGCCACAGGCATCGCTGTGGGTAAAGATGGCAAACCTGTATTTGTGGCTGCGCAGCTAAAACAAGAGGAGAGATGCTGGAATGTGTATTTAAGTTCAGGCTGACCCTACAGGATCCGCGTTTCCAGAGATGTTTTCGGCTCTGGTTCTGGTAGTACTCCATGTGGCATTAGCCATGTTATTCGTTGTGTTGAAACAACCCTGGCTGATAGAGGGAGGGCACCAGTACTGGTACTTCTAGGAAACTGTAAGTCCCACAAGGTCAAGGACCACGTCCTCTTCCCTAGCTCCAGGTCTCTACAAAGCAAGGAGTTGTTGCTGAACATTTATTAAATAAATGAGAAAAGTAGCCCCTTCTGAAGGTATTGCTGCCTTGGTTTGGGCAGTGGTCCAAGAGATGGTGATCCCAGTTTCAGAAGCAATTTTCATTGCACAGGTGGCCCAGGTCCAGAGGGTTATGCCTCTAAAGGAGAGCAAGGCAGAGGCAGTGGCCACGGAAGACAGTTCTGCTGCGTGGCAGCCTCTGTGGTGCCACAAGACAAGGATATACCCCAGCGAATTCGATAGCACCTTAACTACGGGTCTCGAACCGAGCCCATGCAGGGTGCCTGGTAGAGCTGAGCTCTGCAGTTTTGGAGACTGAAAGACCAGATTATGACGTATGACTTCTATGGCTCTTTATGTGATTCGGAATGATTTTGTCTGCATGGATTTTAGTAGTGCTAAATATTAAAAGTCCTTATGCATATTCAGAATTGAAAATATGCATGGCAGAAACTGAGACTGAAAATCATAGCAGAAAAGGTTAGGTAACACTACCAGAAAAGAATAGGTAAAAACTCGTGTATTTATTTTTATGATATATTGTGAACACATAAAAGGTGGATTGTGATACAGAAATGTAATGAATTTCTTTTTTCTTCTTTTTTGTTTCTATTTTTTTATTTTTAATTTAAATTTTTTCCCTATTTTTCTTTTCTCTTATTTTATAGTGAATTTCTTGCTGAATCATCTGTAACGGTCATTTCCAAGCTCTAACATGGACACATGTGTCCACCTCACTTGAGGATCTTGTTAAAATGCAGACTCTGACTCACTGGTCCAGGGTGGGGCCTGGGGTTCTGCATTTCTAACTGGCTCTAGGTGATCAGTGGATGGGTCTTAGTGGCAAGATTTAGGATACTGTTTCTCAAACTTGGCTTCATATTGGAATCATTTAAAAAATGCCAGGAAAATTTAACAAGATACTGATGCCTGAGTCTCAACCCTAGAGATTCTGCTTTAATTGATGAAGGATGTGGCCTGAACTTTGGGACCTGTGAAAAGCTCCCAAGGAGATTCTAATGTGCAGCTACATTTGAGAATTGATGCTCTCAGACTGGTTTCGATTTACTTTTGAGGGAAAAATATTCATTTTAAGCATCTAATCTTACATTTTTTCCTTGCAGGTTGCAGCAATCTACAAGGACTCAAGTATTGGAAATCTTATAAACATAGTAATTGTAAAATTAGTGATAATTCATGATGAACAGGTAAGAGACAGTTCTAAAAGTAGTAAACCTAGCTGTTGTAGGCTCCTAGGAGGAATATATAGAGAGATTATGAAACTCTTATTAGAAATGAGATATTTTTAAAATGTGTGTCAAAAAACTTGATTTGAGAAGGAGGGAGGTTAACTTTTTCTGTTATGATGGAAATGACAACCGAGGAGCTAACAAATTAATAGACAACTAAAAATTTAAAGGTTTAAAACATTCAGGTGTTCACTTTTACCTTCTTACTGTTGAAGAATTTAAAATTAATAGACAATTTAAAGATTTAAGGTTTAAAACATTCAGGTATTCACTTTTACCTTCTTACTGCTGAAGGAGTTAAAGTATGGTAAGTTTTAAGAGTTAGTTTTTTGACCCTAAATATTGGATAGTTACACTGAGAAGGTCTAATTCGATTCTGTTTTGATTGCAATGTTTTAAGCCTTATTCCTAAAATATGATTGCAATATGAGGGAGAGAGGATGCCATTTCTTCACACGCCTGTGAAAATGCCGTTTGATCAATTGCATTAACACTGACAAGCTTGGAAGGGAAAGAGGCCATGGATATTTCGATGTGATGTTCAATCGCTCATTTCTTGTGTGTAGGAAGGACCAGTCATCAGTTTTAACGCAGCCACCACGTTACGCAACTTCTGTTTGTGGCAGCAAACTCAGAATGTTCTTGACGATGCTCACCCGTCCCACCATGACACTGCCGTTCTTATCACCAGGTATGGCTTTAGAAACGACCCTTCCTCTCCTGCGTGGTCACCAACACTTCTTGTTATCTTAATTCTTTATCAGTACTACACAGAAGCATTCTGTGAATATTGTATTACAAAAGATACTATCGAATGAAAGTATTCTGTTTTCTCAGACCAGAACACTGGGTTGATTCCTTAGGAAATTAGCAGCATTAGGTTGCTAAGTAACAGTTTGACCTGAACAAAAGTAATTACCTTATTATATTAGTGACAGAAAAATTACTTGGAAATTAACATAGTTATGGTACTTAGAATACGTTTTGTTCCATCCCTACTTTAAATTTGGTTTGGACTCCCTATACTTAAAAAAAAACCAAAAAACTACCTGCCCCTTGTTTTGGTGCTCAGTGCCTGTCTTAATTACTGGGCTGCATTTGCTAGGGCTATTCTCAAATCTATTTACTTATATGGAAAACAGCTCTGCTACTATAAAATGATTATCCATTTTACAAGTACCGCTACGCGTTGTTAATTCACACCTTTGTTTTAGCAACACAGATGCTACTCAAATATTTAGATCCTGGGTCTGTTGTTTGTTTTGGCTGGTTGGTTGGCCAAAGGGGAAAATCTTTTGCTTGAGGGTGAGACTCAGAAATCTTGGGTCTCTAGAACCCTGAAATGCAAACCTTTAGTCCATGTAAGACAGCTGGCATGTAGTCCACGTGCTTTATCTCTTTTCCAGATGAAAGTGGAATTGACTGAAATTTATATGCAGTAGTCTATTGTCAATCTGTGGATCTGCCCTGGGTTATAGGTAGAGGCCAAGCCGGAGATAACAAGTTAAAGATGGGAAGGAAGAAAAGGGCTGTAAGAGCAGACCATGGGGAAAGAGACTAGAGAACTGTCATATTGAATGGTTAGGGACTAAGTAATGCAGAAGCAAAAAATTTAAGCAACTTGGTAACATTTGAGAACATCATTATTTTGCAGCAGATAATTATAGCTGAAGTTCATAAAGACATTAAAACATTAAGAAAAGAGTATTTTATGTGTGCTACTGCGTAAGTAAAGGCAGAGAGGTGAAAAATGCACTTACGAAAGCTTTTCATTGAACTTGGTTAAGCTTCAACTGTTTATAGTGATCACTTTTGTTCAGCACCCGTTGCCTATTAATAGGCAAAACTGGTGCAATACTCTAGGTTTAAACTTAATTGAGAGCTTGAAAGAACTGGAGTTTAGAAGTCAGTCTGGGGCAATAGTCCTAACGTAATTAAAGCTTCTTTATCTTTGTTTTGACTTGTTGCAAAAATATTTTCTGAAAATGCTTCAAAATCTTTTGTTTTAAGGGAAGACATATGTGGAGCTAGAGAGAAATGTGACACATTAGGTAAGTTATTTGGTAAATTAAATACAGCGTATGGAGTCATTTATTGAGTTATTGAAAACGTTTAGATTATTTTCCTTCTAGTTTACACATTAATCGTTTTGATTAGTGTCTTGATTAATGATTACAGCATCACTATTATTTGATTCTGCTTCTATAAGTTTTAAAGAAAAAATAAGAGCTTAAACTTATATACCAATTAATTACTAAATATCCAGTGCTGTGCAGCGCTTGACATGTTTAAAGTGTTTTATTGTGTAATATTTGATCCATACAAAATAATACATATTAACTTACATGCAAATTTGAAGCAAAATAATGAAATAAATAGCCATGAATCCACCATCAGATTTCAGAATTAGAAATTTATCAGTACTGTCGTATGTATGGCTGTATGTATGTCTGTTGTGTTTTCCCAAGAGGTAGCCAATAGCATAAATTTTGTATGTGCCAGTTCCTTTCATCTTTTGAAAAATAGTTTTATTGCATATGTATGTATTCCTAAAAGAAATTGTTTGCTTTTGCCTCTTTTTGAGCTTTAGCACATGCATTTTCACTGTGGTACAATAATTCATACACACTTTACATATCTATAACTTGTCGCTGAATATTTGGGCTGATTCCAACTGCTTTCTGTTATGAACTTTATCATAAGAGCCAGGTATATCTCTGTGATTAGAACTGCACGTCATTAAGTGTGCTAATGTTCAACTTTACAAGATACACAAAATTATTTTCTAAAGTGGTACCATTTTGCATCTTTATCAGTAGTGTATGAGCATTCCTTTTGATTGTATCCTGATCCAGAAAAGAATCTTCAGACTTCTCATTGTAGTTATATGTTTCAAATATGTCTGGCAAGTCTCTAGCTAGCCCAGCTTTCTCTGGTTTAGTATTTGCTGGATTTATCTTTTCTTCTAATTTTCCGATGTTTTTATACTTTAGGTGTTTTTCTTGGAAACAACGTATAATTGGATTTTAAAATAATATCCATAATAACTCAGTTTAGCTGCCAAAGTTGGGCTGTTTACATTTATTGTAATTATTGTTATATGTTCGTTTATATATGCCATTTTGTTTTTTATTTCTGTTTATTCCATTTTGTACTCTGTCCATCCCCTCCCCCCTTTTGGCCTTTCTCTGGGTTAAGTTTTTAAATTAGTTTCTTATTTTAATTTTCCTATTTCAAGTTGAAAATTATATGTACTATTCTATTGTTTTTGAAGTTAATCTGGCTTTTTGCTAGCATACTTAAGTTAACTTTGTCTAAAACTCTCTCCTAAGCAAATTCTATCTTAGATTTCTTAAACTTTGTTATATATATGTATGAGGTGGGGCAGGGAGAGAATATGTATTAGATTTTGGAGGTTTGGGGACTTGATAGTTCTCATACATCATGAGCTCAGGATTCATTAAAAAGGTATTTTTTATTACTTGTCTCGTTTCTTTGTGGTGGGAAGACTGTCTAAAAACTCAAATCTTTCACAAATGTGGAAGTAGACTCCTGCTGCTCTAATCTTTACAATAGACCCCATCATCTTCTTACAGACCGTTCTCTGACTTTGTTGGATATATTTTTGAGTCAATCATCTAAGAAGAACCCATTGAATATGTTATGTTTCTTACATTATTTATGCCTTATTGTCACATCTTTATACTGAAAGTTAAGTATGAATATGTCTGCCATGTCTTACTGTTTTTTAATGATTTAATGCTAGACATTCTGGGCTATTTATGTAAAAGTGGATGGTTTCCTAGTCCCCATTCATTTTTTGCAGTTTTCAGCCACACCTGTGCACATAACTCTAGTCTACGGATCATAGTGACATCTAGAAACCTAGACTACAGAAATCAAAGTAATCTTATTATCTTTTCAGTCAAGATTAATGATGATGAGAATGATAGCTGATATATTTGAGTGTTTACTATACATCATATGTTATATTAAGATTTCACATGATTTAACTCATTTAATCTTCGCAACAAACGTATGAAGAAAGACCTATTATTCCAATTTTATAAATGAGGATAAATAATCTGCACAAGTCTACACAGCTTGTGTTAGCACAAGTTTCAGTATTTTATTTTTCCACCTAAAATATGTGGGAAAAAATAACAAGCCAAGAATAGTTCTTAATGACAAATTCAAGATGCTGGTAAAAATTACTAGACTTCTTGCATGTCGCTCCTTTTGCAAATATCGTTGTCTTAGTCTCTGTGTTTTACAAAGTGTGCTGAAAAATGGGTTTTATTCTTCAAGGTGGTAGATTGGTGACTCTGTGCAGCTTCGTGCCCATCCAGACACAGGGAATCTGTGTCCAGTTTGGGCTCCTGCTACTTTGTTCTATCTCTGCCCCGTTTTAGGGAACCCCGAGCAGCATGAGTGAAGCCATCAGCCAGCTGCTTGTAACCATAGCGCTGTACATTCACTTCAATTTCTGTTGGTCTTGCTTATCTAATAGAGATATTTGAGCTTGGTCTCTCATCAATGCATATTTTTATAGACCTGTGATTAAAATGTTCAGTTTAGAATATATCCATCCTTAAGCATAAAACACAAAGTTTGCATGGTAATGGACTCAATATTGTGTTCCAAATATATACACAGCCCTGAAAATGAACACACTGGAATTGAGCCACTAGGCAAATTGAAAATACTAATGAAGGCAAGGGAACACTAGCACAGTCATGAAAAAAAATGTGTTCCATTTTAACTAATTCTGACAAAGGAGGAAAATAAAATTGACCAAAAATTTGCACATACAAGTATGAATTTATAATCTTAGGGAAAACAGTAATTCCCTCATACTTTCTACAGAGGACTGTTAAAGAAAGAGTATCTTTCAGTTTTTTTCTTCCTTGCTTTTGGTCTCTATTCTAACTAAGAAAAAGTCCTTTTTAGGGGGACGTTGCCCAAGCAAGGCCTTTGGCAGTGGGGTCAGAAAGAGGGCAGATCTTTTCTCTTTGTTAAAAATGTGCTGCTGAGTGAACTAACTAGTCTGACTTTTCCCAGCGATTTTCGATTCCTGAGTTTAACTTCCATTTCTTTGAGGGCACAGTGAAAACGTTCTAATTGTTAGGAAACCTACCTTAATCACTAGGAAAATGTCTGTGTTTTCAACTTTTATGACTAAAAGAATACATAGGAGGAGAGAGCTAAAACACAGTAGCTAATATAGGTATTTATTCTATATTAAGAAATTTCTAGTGTGAAAATGTTACAGTAAGAATCCGGTTACTTTATATATGGAAATCTTTTTTTATGAAAGGAATCATCGTAGGAGAGCAGATAAATTTGCGAGCGAATACTGAAGGATAGCAATAGCAAAAACCATGACATTGTATCAGAAAGTAAAATGAAATGCTGACTTGGTTGATGATGGATATGGATTATTGTAATGAACATTTGTTTTGAATTTCCTATACTAGATTAAAGGACTGTATCTGCTAACTTCATCTTTCAGCAGCAATTCGAGTTGCACGTTATTATTTAAATGAGTGACTAGACCTTGACATGTGATACATTTTCCATTGCTGAAATAGTTACAGAATTGAGTGCTTGCAGTAATTGTGTCTTTATCAAGTTTTATTTAATGTATATTAAATCCAGGCATTATTCTAAGCATTTAACATATTTTTATCCATTTAATTATCATGTGGCAATTGAATAATTGTATGCTGCTTCAGTTCTTTAAAAAGTTAAAGAAAACTTACGGAATTGTATTGTTCTGTGCTATTTTCTTTATTAGTGCTATGACCAATTTAAACATTCATTACCTCTCCTACAACCCACGCTAATGTGGCTTACAGTTTATTCTTCTTGTAATGAATATTCTTGTCCTTTTCCTGTCTTAAAAAAATTGTTTCTCATCCCTTATTCTGGATTATTTTCTTCAATAAGAGATTCCAAGAATTTGCTAAAAAGTTTTCAACTACAGACAAATCATTCTGTTCTTATTTTTCTTCTCTTGATAAAATGTTCGTGCAATGTTAGCAGTCCGCACAGCATTCATTTCTAAGTAGTAACGCCAATGATAAATGCCAAATGATAAACACAGTGCTTTCTGTATGACTTTGGTATTTTCCGTTCTGATGAAATACAAACGTGAAATTTTTCAGGTTTAGCAGAATTAGGTACCCTGTGTGATCCTTTACGGAGCTGCTCTATCAGTGAAGAAAATGGACTTAGTGCCGCCTTTACCATTGCCCACGAGCTTGGGCACGTGTAAGTACCGCCTGCCACCTCAGTACTGTGCCTTCTGTATACCTCTGCACAAATGCCTAAGATTCCCGTCTTCAGCTGAGTAATTAGCACCTTTATTTCTTTATAAAATGTGAGTAGTGTAATTTTCACCCCTGAAATGCTAACTCTGGCTCTTTTGTGATCTATGTTAGGTCAGACAGGCTGCACAGATCAACAGACTAAGCAAAGAACTAGAACTTGGGAATTCTTTTATTTCATTTACTGTATTGGATTACATGACAAGCACTCTGGCCTCTGTCCCTTGTTGCCCTATACATGACCAGGTACTGTGCTCTACCGTCTCATAGGAGGGCCTGCAGGGGCCCCTGGTTCTGGGGACGCCCCTAGATATTTGTAATACCAACTCACTTTCTGCTCTTCTAGCTCACAGCCTCAGCAGAGGATGTGGCCTGTGGGAATTTCTCAATCACTAAATTTATTTTTTTTTAAATTTTCTCCCAGCTCCATATTTTTTGTTTTTGTTCTTGTTTATTGGTGAAATTTGAGATTCTCCTCTCTGTTCTTGCGTTATTAGAAATTCTACTGGGGTTTTATGCTCTAAAAATGTAGAGGCCATGATTTCCCATGATACCCTTGGAGCCCCTGTAGAAAAAATCAGAAACCCCTAGAAATTCATCCTCTGAAAAATGGTTCGAAGTGTGCCCCCAGGACTCCTCTGATTCCTTGGTTATCTACTAATGAGGAATTGAGGGTAGAGCTGCCTCTCTGAATGGACTACATTTTCTTTTCCTGGTCATGACATCATTAGAGTATTTCTCTGGAATAATTTCAAGTCGAGATCCTTTTTATTAAACTAGTGCCTCTTCAGTTCCCTTTACCATGGTAATAGCTCATGATCATCAACAAGAGGCAAACTCAGATCTTTACGTCATTTGTTGAGGTCGAGGACAGGGTCAGGAGTTTACATGATGCACACTGCATTGCAGCAACATCTGAGAAGCAGTATTTGCTGGTTTCCAAGGGTGCAAATTAGTAGAAGAGAGTCCCATCTTAGACATTTATTTTCTTCCTGAGAAACTCTTTAGGTGTGTTTAGAATATTGGTAAGTAGCTTATTTAAAGCACCGAGTTAAGTACAAATTTTGGGAGGCAAGGACATGAATTAGGTGGTTTCAATGTTCCTTCTAAATGCAAGGTTTCACTTAGATCCTCAAAAGAATGTGTAGGATCTGTTGCTGACCAGCTAACTATTTAATATCAATGCTCTTGTTGTGAAGATTAGGTTGCCCTTTAGGAATATTTTTATTATTCCAATTCTGTCAATCACCATGTATTCATCATAGACCAGAAAGAGCACGTGGGCTGTTTCATAGGAAATAGATGGAAACTGTAGTATGATACAGAATTAGGGCTTAAAGAAGTTTTTTTGTTTGGGTTTTTTTTTTTTTTTTGATACTGTAGTAGTTGTCAACAGTCTAGAATTTAGTGCGGTAGAACCTTTACCTAATCTTTCTACACACGTCTCCTAGGCGATGTGTGTGCAAACTGCTGCTGTTTTTAAGGGAACGCTATGTCCATATTGTGGTGAGGTGAGCCAGAACCCAAATATTTTGATTGTTTCAATTCAGATACCAAATCAGCGGACTGTGCTACTGATCAAAGTTTTGATCTAGTGTTTCTTGGACAGCAAATGCTCTAAACATGAAGGTACCCCAGCATTATAATACTTCATGGCAAGATCAAGAGTACAAATCCTGATGTAATCAGATTTATCTGCATTTTAGATTATACTATAAATATAAGAGATTTGTTTCTAATGTTGTGTACATAGTTCAGTATTCTTTTTAAAGTGTTTATTTTTATTTTTAGATTTAACGTTCCACATGATGATAGTTTTAAATGTAAGGAAACTGGAATTAAACATCAGTACCATGTAATGGCTCCAACTTTAAATTACCACACCAGTCCTTGGACCTGGTCAAAATGCAGTCAGAAATACATCACCGAATTCCTAGAGTAAGTGATTTTGTGTTATGTTGTTAAATAATTGTGCATTTATTAGATTATAAAATTTGAAACTTGTGTATTCTTGTGCGATGCAATTTCTGTTGAGTTTTTTATTGTTTAAATTTAAGCTTCCTTTCACTATACAAATGGATGTTTAAAAACAAGGAAGGAATTATATTATTTCATTCATGAAAAATTATTTTTTGAGGGGGTCAGTTCAGGTCTAGTTATTATTATTATTATTATTATTATTATTATTTTAATTTGGGCTCATCATTGTGGTAGAAACTCCTTTTAAGGAGAGACTTTAGGGGAATCAAAGCTTCCCTATGTGGGAATCCTTTCAGAGGTGTAATATGTTGAGCGGAGTTGAGCGGCTCCAGTTTGAGATGCCCCTGCAGGCAGAGAATGGCTAAAGTCAAACTAGGAATATTCTAAATAGCTCTCCAAAGCCGCAGGGTTATGGAGACTCCAGGTCTACTTGTTCTTTTGGAGGCTTTTCCTAGCTCTGAGAGAGGAGGGAGACCCAGGGACTTCTTGCCTTGTCTCTTTAACTCCCACCAGGTTTCTTCACTTCCCAACTTCTTATCCAAATGTTATTTCTGTCCTAATTATTGAAACTTGTCCAAAAGTCAAGGCCAAGTCATCTTTTTGTATAAACACAATACTGTTTCATTTCTTTTACTACATATTCTAATCGCCAGTTTATACAGTTTTAGTTACTTCTCTTTCCAAGAACGATGGGAGTAAGTGAAACCATGTTTTGGAATGTATGTCTATAAATACGTTCCTTAATTATAATCAGCGGTGGTTACTTACTGTTGTATGGGAACTTGACTTAAAAGCGCAGCACACAGTTACTGCTCCATACATGATTGCATATAGTTCTGTTCATCGCTAATAGAGGCACTGACTAAAAATACCAGTGGGTGTGCTGATTTTTGGATTGGGGTAATATGATTCTCTCCAGTGGGAATTTTACAATTCACATGTTTATGTTTTGGGCAAAATTAAACATGCCGTTCGTTTAGCCAGTAAAAAATTCCCCACCAAATATCTCCTCTAATTACTGCAATTCAATAAATTGTTGTTTTTAACCCAGTTGAAATGGCTGCACATTTTCATAAAGTTTTCTGTAGACTATTATGTGACCAACTAGGAGTAACAAATATACATCTTCACTGCTATCTACCACTTTTCTAACTCCTTTAAAGGTATTATGTCATATACTTTAATAGCAACTTGCAAGGTAGACATTATCAGTCTCAATATACAGATGAGGAGACTTAGTTAGCTTCAGGGAGACTAAACAACTTGTCCACACCGTGTGTTCTGGGAAGTGGTGAGACCCAACTGCAAACTCCCAGCTGGCATTCTTTTTTTTTTTTTTTTAAGTTTTAAATTTTTTTTATTTCCAGCTGGCATTCTTGACTGAATTACATTCCTTTCCTAGAAAACCTCTTTGAGATGGAGACAGAATAACACTTTTTGAAATTCCTTTGTTTTGTTGTCATTTAGAACTATAAATGCATTTTTTTCAGATGATTTTTAAACTTTAATTTGTACATTTTAACCCATCTGGATATTTAGATATAGGGCCTTGCAATTGGATAGCAAAACAGATCAAAAGTGTGATGTGATCAAAATAGGAATTCAGGTTTCAAACATTATTTTCTGATGAATTTATGTTTATTATCTGTCACTGTTCTTTTAAAAAATTTTCCCTTTAGGGCAGTTGTGGGTATCAAATGAGAACAAACACATAAATCCTTTGTCAACTGTGAGGTTTTCTTACTGGCTTTGATGCAAGTTGGTTTTTCAATTATGAAAAAAAATATTGATAGTCTCTGAAAGTGCAGAACTACAGAAAATATGATGAAGAATCTTCTACTGAGATGAGTCTGTGTGTGTTCACAATATTTTGGCTTCTGTCACTGTTCCAGCACTGGTCATGGGGAATGCCTCCTTGACAAGCCAAATGGAAGAATATATGACCTGTCTTCACAGCTTCCTGGATTAATGTATGATGTGAACAAGCAATGTGAACTTATGTTTGGTCCTGGATCACAAGTGTGTCCCTATTTGGTAAGAAAAAGTCTGTCCTTCTGCTCGAAAGCTACCATAAAGTTGTAGTTAGAATGTATCTCAGAATGTACACTTATTTTCTTGGACAGAAAGTGTACTGAATATATCTTTAAAACATCTTAAGTATTAGAAAAATTTGGTCTTTGTCAGGAAGGGGTTAAAAATGGTGAAACTAAAATTTGAGTACTTATTATATGCCAGGTACTATGTTAGAGACTTAAAAATTACCTTTAACTCTCACAAAATCTCATGAAATATCCCCAGTCAGAAAACAGAGCCACAGAGAGGCTATTGAAAATTATAAGCATTCAAATAACTGTTTTCAAATGGTATTGTTTTGCGGGTGAGGGAAGCAAATGTAAGTATTTTGTTAATGAATCCTATTAAAGGTTCCAGGAATCTAATAGACTTTATTTTAATTTACACAGACTTGAATCCAAAGGAATGAAATTTGGGGCCTATTGTTTAGTTAGACAATTATTTTATAATTTATTTTGAGGATTTTTCATGGATTAGATACTTTAAATTTCCCCTGAAATAGCTGACTTAACACTTCAACTGAATCTCTCATCAAGATTTTGTTTTATTTAGGGGGATAAATTTTGGATTTAGGTTGAATAAAGGTCACTACTTTGGAAATCCATGCCTTACTCTTCCAAGCAGAATACTCATTCCGTTTTCTTCATTCCTGTAAAAAGCTTTGCCAAGTTGCTTACTAGACTACGAGATTATGAGGATCCCTGGACCAGGAATCCAGCCTTATTCACTCATTTAAATAAAGATATATCCCCAGTATTCAGTTCAGGATCTGCCACATAATAGGTGCCACAAAATAAATGCTTACCAAGTGTTGAATGAAAGAATGAATGAATGAAAGTAAGTTACTCAACAGTGAGCACAGAGACACACAAAGCATATTCTATACAGTGAATATTATTCCTGAAATCTTAAATTTATGGTCACAGATTTTATAAGCCTTTAAACATCCACTCTAGAGGGGGGAAGATTTGCCTAAATTTTTTGTTATAAAAGCTACATTTCTTTCCTACCTGACTTAGATACTGAAGGAACTTCGAATTTAAATTCAGAAAAAGAGAAGCGTTCTCTGGGGTCTAGCTCCTGTGAGCCTCTGTGGGTTTTCGTACTTGTGAAAACCTCAGAACCCTTTGTTCAAAAGTTGAAAGTATGCATTATATTCACCAAATAGGAAACCAGTGTACATTACACAGTATTTCTATGCACATTATTCATACATTCCACCGTTGGATCAAAGGGGCTTTTGGAGACTCGTTGTGAATAACATTTAACAACAAAAAGTCCTTTAGAAAAATGTCTCACATGATTTTGAATATTTCAGCTCCAGTTCGTCTCTTCCAGGGTTCAGTGTTTGATAAAAATCCAAAAGTTCTTAAAAGCTAAAGGTTGCCATTTCCTATGTTTAGAGGAAAATCGATGACTGGGACTGACTCGGTAAAGATTTCTTACTGACTGCTCCCAGCTCTGACTGCAGAACCAGGAAGTCTACAAGTGTACAGGATGCGCTTAGAAACCAGTGTATGATGCTGAGCTGATCCGGTGGTCATAGTGCTATTTTACTCTCGCTTTCTTGCCTCTTGTCCTGTGCAGAAACAATGCAGGCGTCTCTGGTGCACGAGCGCAGAGGGAGTTCACAAGGGCTGTCGCACTCAACACATGCCACTGGCAGATGGAACAAACTGTGGTCCTGGGATGGTAGGTTTTCTTGAAGGGTGAGTCTTGTATCAAGAGATCTTCCAAGGAGGTGATCGCTCTGCATTTCAATGCTCTTCATTATTTGCTGTCAACTCTTGTTCTGCTAGTGGAATTAATGTTTTTGCCCTATTTGTTTGATATAACATATTGTCAAGTGAATTAAAATTTTCATTTCACCCCTTTTTTCGAGATCCAGCAGATGAATATTCTAGTTATGCAATTAACATGGATATTTAGTGATCTCAGTGTATTATAGTCTTGTAATTAAAAATGAGTATAGACATAAATATTTCAGCAATTCCCTGAAATTCATGGATGTTGCCATTGTATACATTTTCTCCTACAAAATTCAGGTAAGTATAACTGAAGGTTTTAAGTGGCTTCTTCAGATCTTTATTGGTTTTGAATGTTTTAAAATAACATTATACCGCTTAAAAAAAAAAATCCCCTGCCTACCATACTACTTCATTGCCGTTCTAGCAACAGGCATCAGTTTATCTAAATCTGCCAATAGGATGTCAGGTGGTAGGGTTACTGTGGTGATGAAACGTGTTGTATGGGAGGATGAAGTCAGATTGTGCCTGGTGCTCCGGGACAAACGAAGGCAAGCCCATCAGGTCTTGGTGGCCAATGTTGTTTCCACTGAGTAAGTTTTAGTCTGAGAGCCACCTCTGAGCTACCTGAGCACGAAAGATACACTGCCTTGGCAATGGGTTGGCTAGTGCTGCCTCTCTTGTTAACGTCACATTAGGCAAAAATAAGAACGCCTTAAAATAAGGTCACTGGCTGGAGCTGTGCCTTTATACCATCTGTTGCTTCACTGCAGTGTTCGTACCAGCGACCGCCCTTCTTTTGAATCACTTGTCCATCAAAAGGTATTATTTCCACGCGTATCACTCATATCGCAAATGAACTGATTTTTAAAGCAACTGAAGTGCTCGTTGAAACCCTTTAGCTTTCAGATTACTTTGTGATTTGAGGATAAAAAAAAATCCAGTGGACTCCTTCAGTTCATCGATTTAAACTAGAACTGAATTTTACAGTTTGAACTTTATCTAAGATTTTTATTTGGAGCAGAAGAATTGTTAAAAAAAAGACTTTATGTTTCTCACTTCCTGTGATAATGGTACCAGTCATTGGTTTTTTAGGGGAGAGGAGGGGAGGAGAGGCGTTTGTGAGAGTTACAAATTATCTGAGGCTGAGCTGAGAAAAAAACCTTTTTGGAGTTTGAACATGAGGCTGCTGATATTAGCCCAATGAATGGAAGACTTGCTCCAAGATGCTCACCTGATTCAAATCTAGGATTTGGCTTCAGTGCCTTAGCGAATTTTTAAGTTATTATATGCCATGTGAGCTGGTCCACCCACCAGAAGGCCAGCACCACCCCAAGATACCCTTGACTTTGGCCCTATCCACCAACACACTGACATGGCTCTTGGACACCCTGGGCCCTTCAGCCAGCTGCCCCGGGGTCCAGTCCCACCCACCAGTGAGCCAGGACCAGGACTGAGACTCTCCTGACCATACAGTGAGCCATGCCAGGACCCAGCCACACCCACAAGTGGCCGGGCAGCCTCTGCACAAGGCAGGACCTGGAAGCCAACAAGACCAAGGGCCAGCCACACCTATAGTCAGCTCACAACAACAGAAGGACCCACACAACCCACACAGAGGGCACCCCTAGAGCATACGGCTCTCATGACTAGAGGGGAGAGCCCTACTGGACCCTATAGGACATCTCCTGCATGAGGTCACTTCACTGTCTTGATGAAGAGTGAGTGGGTCAAGCTTCTTTGTGTTCAACATAATGTTTTTGAGGTTCATCCGTATTATCGTGTACATCAATATGTCATTCCTTCACGTTGCAGTGTAATTCAACTGCACAGTAATTTGTTTACCTTTCTCTTGTTGATGGGTATTTGGACTATTTCCAGTTTTTGGTTTTTGTGAATAAAGCTGTTACGAGCATTCTTGTACAAGTCTTCTTGTGGACATATGTTTGTATTTCTCTTGAGTAAATACCTAAGGTGGAATTGCTGGGTCATAGGGTAGATGTGTGTTTAACTTCATAAGAAAGTGCCAGGCAATTTTCCAAAATATGTAAACCATTTTAGACTCACCAAGCAGCGCATGAAAGTTCGAGTTGCTCTGGATTCCTTATGAATTCTTGATATTGTTAGCCTTAACAAAAATGTAGCCACTCTAGTGGGTGTGAAATAGAATTTCGTCATGATTTTAACTTGCATTATCCTGATGATTCTCAATTTGGGGCATCTTGTCCTTTGCTTATTAGCCACTGAAGTATTTCCCCAATGAGATGGTATGGAGGGCATGGGTTTGTTGGAATTCAGGATAAATATGATGAGATACTGAGACCTACTTTAAAACCCATGTAGATTAAAAGCAGAAGTGGCATTTGGGGTAACATGTGGATCATGATAGGTATAAATTCCCTTTTTAAAAAAAATTAATTAAAAACAGTGAGCCCTTATGCATTAATCATATTCATTATTAAATGGACCTTTTATTCATGGTCAACCCATCGGACAATGAGTTAATTTTACTACATGGCGAGCACTGTAACATTCTTTTTCATGCTCTGATCTCTCAGAAATAAATAAACAAAAAGAATATGCAAGGATTATTTAAATGTTTCTGGAAGAGGCCCACAAAATTTACATGCACATTGTTTATTCTATTCCGAGGTTTTGCTTTTGTTCACTTCTAACGTGGGTTTTCTCATGTTGAATGATGTGTTCTAACGGAGCGCACAAGGCATTTTTCCTGCTACTAATCTTGGTTGTAGGATTAATTTATTCAACACGAATGTGTCAAGGGCCCACTATGTGTCAGGTACTACTCCAGGTGCTCAGGATACATCAATGAACAGAAGAGGACAGATCCCTACCCCACCTGGAGCTTGGATTCTAGTGGGAGACTGCAGTGTTACAGACAAGAGAATAGGACTGTGAACAAGAGAAATAGAGCAGAAAAAGGATTGGAAGGTTTGTGGTAGGGAGGGCAGATGGCAATTTAAAATACGGTGGTCAAGGTAGATCTTATGGGAAGTTGCCTAATGAGCTGTTTTAAAGGAAGTGAGGGAGTTAGCAATGAGGTCATCATGGGGGAGTGAGTTCCAGGTAAAGGGGACAGCTGAGCTCCTAAACCTGGAGTATTTCTGGCGTGTTTATGGAAGAGTGAGGAAGACATTTTGGCTGGAGCAGAGTGATGAGAGAGAAAGATGTGTGGGAAGCCAATGGAAGAATATTCTGTAGGGCCTTGCAGGCCATTGCGAGAATTTTACGTTACTCAAAGTGAGATAATTGAAGGATTAGAGCAGAGGAGTCACCTAATTTGACTGAAATTTAAAACTGCATTTAGAAAGGATCATGATCATTCTGACAATCTGTAGGGGTCAGGAGTACAAACAGGGGAGATGTTCTCACAGAGCCGCTGCAGTCACAGAGATGCGAGGTGCTGGTGGCTCAAACCCGGGTGATGCTTCAAGGTCAACTTTGTATATGTTTTTGAAGGAAATAGAACATTTTTGCTAATGTATCAGATATGAAAGTTGCAGGAAGAAGAGATAGGGTGACTAAGTTATTTTGGCTAATCAACTGAGATCAACTGAACAGATTTTTGAGGGTGCAGGACGAGAGTTCAACTTTGGGTATACTATGTTTGAGATGGTTATGAGACATTCAAATGAAATTGAGGAAACAGCTGTCCATAGAGTCTGGAGTTCAGGAGCAAGATCTGGACTGGGAGTGACTGTTGATCAAGAAGAATAAAAGACCAAGGTCTGAGTCCAAGGACGTTAAGAGGTCAGAAAGAAGACGAAACAGCGAAAGAAACTGAAAAAGTGAAATCATTAAAGAAAAGGGAAAATGAAGATTATGTGGAGCCCTGGAAACTAAGAGAAGAAAAAGATGTATCAAAGAGGAAGAGTGATGAGCTGTGTCACATGCTGCTAAGTCAAGGAGGGCGGAGACTGAGAACTGGCTGTTGGTCATGCTGTCCTGGAGACCACTGGTGGTGTACACAGGAGTGGATCATGGAGGGTGGGGTAGACATGCCTCTGGTCGTGGTGCGTAATGAGAGAGAATCGGCCAAGAGAGTTAGACGCTGAGTACAGACAATTCTTTCAAGGGAAAACAGGACAATAACTGGTGAAGGAAATGAGATCTAAGAGAAGTTTGTTGTTGTTTTTAAAGTGGGAGGAACAAGAGTGTGTTCGTATGTTAAAGGCAATGAGTGGAGCACTACTCAAACTATCTCTTGCAAAGGACTAGTCTTCTTTTTAAAACACTTCTGATCATTTATAAACATACTGTTGTGCGAAATGATGAAAATGAAAATGCAGTGAAAAAAGACATTCAAAGTGTAAGCCAGTTTTTAAAATGGAAAACAAAATGGTGATTCCTCAAAAACATTAGAAATAGACTTGCAGGACCCAGCACAAACACCTGGTTATATATCCAAAAGAATTGAAAACAGGGTCTTGAAGAGATAATTTGCAAACCCATGTTCATAGTTGCATACGATGGCCAAGAGATGGAAGCAACCCAAGTGTCCATCAGTGGATGAATGGATAAAGAAGATGTGTTATATACATACAATGGAGTATTATTCAGTCTTAAAAGGAAGGAAATTCTGACACATACTACCACATTGATTAACCTTGAGGATATTATGCTAAGTGAAATAAGCCAGTCAAAAAAAGACAAATACTGTATGATTTCAGTTATATAAGATACATGGTGCAGTCAAGTTCGCACAGTAGAATGGTGATTGGCAGGGGTTGGGAGGAGGGGAAAAGGGGAGTCATTGTTTAATGGGTACAGAGTTTCAGTTTGGGAAGATAAAGAGTTCTGTGGATAATGATTACACTACAATGTGAATTGTTCTTATTGCCACTGAACTGTGCACTTCAAAATGGGTAGGATGGTAAATTTTACCACAATTAAAAATAAAACAAGTATAAGCTAATTTTTAAAATTATTAACCTCAATAAATAAAATTACTCTGTCAAAATCTTTTAAAACAAAGTTTCTAAATGCTTACTCTCAATTTCTGTACTCATCTTCTCACAGACTGACAGTGACAGTTCACAAAGACCGGTGTCTGTGCCTGGACCACACTGGGATTAGCTTTCATGCAGTGGAGACTGGAACAGGGATGATGTTGGCATGGAGTGAAGTTTTAAGTAGTGAGAAGAGATGAGACTAGGTGCACAGTGGACGGGTTGACTTTGGATTTTTCATGTACACTGATTGGCAGGAAGGCTAAGTATTGGGCACAATTCCTGTTCGTGGGTAGAAGGGGTGAGGGGGATTGTGGACAGAATCTTCTGTAAATTTCCATTTTGTTCATAAAAGCAGAGAACAAAGTGATCTTTGAGACTTTGAATGAGATGGAGTAGAAAGTTAGCTAAAAGGGTGGGAGAGTGTTAGATATCTTTGCATAAAAAAATAGAAGCATAGACATATACTTTATTAATCAAATGTTTCTTTGCTTCTTATCAAAAATATTTTTTCTTACACTAAGTTTTTCCCCATATATAATCTCATAGGCAAGGTAAATTTCCTATTCTTTTTTGCATGGTTGATCTTTTTACAATTATTCAGCAGATACACAGGAAATAGTCATAAAGTGGTGTCGAACACAGTCTCGTTTCTGAATTGATAGCATTTTGCTCTAAGTTGTGTGCATTTTTTATTGATCTCTGTGCTGTTGTCATTGCTGTGATGTTCTCATTAGATATGCACGCATCATTTCTTTCTGTGTTATTTCTGTAGCATTGCCGCCACGGGCTCTGTGTAAACAAAGACATGGAAACACGTCCTGTAGATGGCGAATGGGGACCCTGGGGACCTTACAGTTCTTGTTCAAGAACATGTGGAGGTGGAGTCAAAAGCACAACCAGGCTCTGTAATCGCCCCGAGTATGTCTTTTTTATGTCACTGTAAATTAAGATTATCTCAAGGCACCAGAAAGTAAACACCAGGTTCATTCACTTCTAAAACTGGAGGTCAGTCTGTAAGTTTCTGAGATTCAGAAAACTTCCGGGATACTTTAAGCCATTTATTACTTTATATATTGGTAGAGTCAGACTTTAACAAAAAAAGACTACATTAAAATAATCTTTAGAATTTGAATTAAGACAGAACCATTTTTTCTTTCTTTATTTTCTGGTTTAGTGTAAACTTGAAAAATAGTTGTAAATAATGACAGTGATATAGTGGCATTTTTACTTCTACTGTGTTTCTCTTGAAAGATCCTGGCCCCTTTCAACTGTTTTGGCTTTCTTGGATAAAATATGTAGTTCTGTTACCAGTTTTTTATTGTTTGGTATCATTTGTCATGTCATATTTTCTTTCTCTTCTTTTCACGTTATAGATGCTTCAGTGTCTTTAGCTCGACTAAGTACTGAAGCATAGGCTGTGTTCATCAAACTATGGAAAAGAATTTAGGGAATTCCATAAAAAATGTTAAATAATGTTTCTGTTGTTATACAATATATAAATTGGTAATAAGAATTTTTAATGCAGAAATTTGATATACTCTGAATAAAATCTGACTTCGCTTACTTGAATTTTAGAATAGCTACATTAGGCTAAAGGTCTTCATATTAAAAAAAAAACACGCTGACAAAAGAATTTTTTTTCCAGCATAAATTGAAATAGAGATCGATACCATAAAACTCTTTGATCTGAGTGATAAGTAGGATTTACATGACCAAGAGGCATATGTATATTCCTTTTTTTAATTTAATATGGTATTACCTTGCTTTGTTATCATCTTTGGCTTACTATATGTGTTTCCCCCCCCATCCCCAGAAAGTGAACAAGCCCTTTTTTGAAGTTTTAAAGTTCATTCTCACCACTGGTTAGTTCCTTGTTAGTTAATCTAGTCACGAATAAGATACCTGCCCTTTAAGCCACAGTGTCCACTTCAAAATGGATTTTCTGTAGCTTATTAACCGTAGCATTGCTTGACAACCAGGTTACACGCTTCTGTTAAAAAACAAAAGTGTTAGTGGGACGGCAGTGGCTTTCCAGGTCCTGGAAGAGAATGGAACAGTGTTAGTAAACGGCAGGAGTAATGTTGTACTGATGTGCTTTAAAATGTAATGAATTTGACTAGGCCAAGAAACGGAGGAAAGTTCTGTGTGGGCCGCAGGATGAAATTTCGCTCATGTAACACTGATTCCTGTCCAAAAGGCAAGCAAGACTTTCGTGAGAAGCAGTGCTCTGATTTTGACGGTAAACATTTCAACATCAATGGTCTTTCCCCTAATGTGAGGTGGCTTCCAAAGTACAGTGGGAGTAAGTAATGAGAATATTTTCTTGATGCAGACAATTTTGGAGACAGAGGAACACACAGCCGTATTACTCTACACCCCAAACTCGACTTTTTCTTACAGTTGCCGTAAAAGATCGTTGTAAACTCTATTGTCGGGTTGCGGGAACCACTCACTTCTACCAGCTGAAGGACAGGGTTGCTGATGGCACGCCTTGTGGGACTGAAACGAATGACATCTGTGTTCAAGGCCTGTGTCGGGTAAGTAAACGTGTTATATTTTAAATGACTTTCAGAACACTCTTTTCCTCCCACTCCTCCAACCAGATATTACTTCTGTGACTTCAGAATTCCTTCTTGTGCATTTCGATGCAGCATCCTCTCTCTTTACCTTGCTGTCTATGGGAGCACGGCTAGGAGACTGTTGCCAGGCCATCCTCTGTCATCAGGAGTGACTCACGAAGCAGCAAGATGAGTTCGCTGCTTTTGTCTTTCCTGTGGTACTCAAAATCAAGATGAGGGATGAGGTCGGCTTCCTAAAAAAAATGGGACGTATCAGAACACAAGAGTTGTGAAGTCCTTTCGCTACTTCACGTGGGACCTTCTGGCGTGAAGGCCCCTCTGTGTTGGAAGCAGTGATCTCTGCCCTCCCTTTCTCCCTTCCCTTGCTTCGTATGTACATTCAGTGGATGCTGACTGAGCAGCTACTAGGTGCCCCGTCCTGTTCTAGTCACCAAGATGAGAGGATGGAACAGAGTACCTACCTCCAACGTGGGCACAGGTGTGTGGGGGACACATGCGTACATATAGTCAGAGTGCAGCGCCCTGGGGCCATCTGCAAGAGGGCATCACATTATAGGAGTGACTTATTCTCCGGGGAGATGGGTAACAGATTCAAAGATGCTCACAGAGGGTGTGAGTCTTGAGCTAATTCTTAAGGAAGAGTAGGTTTTAGAAAGGTGTGGAAAGTAAGGGGCCAGGGTTAGAAGTAGCTACCAGCCGATTGTGGTTATATGTACTTTTTTACCTGCAGTCCTTGGAGACCCCTGGAAGGATTTGGAGTTAAGTGAGAGTTGTGATTTTATTTGGATGCTAGAATCTTCAGAACATAGTGGGTTATTTGGAAATTGGAGATGGGTAGGCTGTGTAAGCAGGATTCTAGGTGAGAGCAGATGAGCCCCTGAATTAAAGCTCACAAATTGCAGGTGGTGAGCTTAAAACGAGATGATGAGTCTGAGAACTAGGGTAGTGAATGCCGTCTAAAGAATACAGATGTAACCTTGGGAGCCCATTCCTTTGGTTAAGTGGAACCTAATTTTTTCTCCCTATAACCAAATATCTGTTACCAGTTTTTCTCCCTACAACCAAATATCTATTACCAGTTACCTAGGTGATAAAGGCCTTGCACCTCAAAGGGCTAATGAGATGTTCAAAATAACTTAAATATTAGAAAAAGGGTACTTGGTGGCTAGAGAAAACTTGTTTTATCTAAATTAATGGCAGAAAGTCAGATACAGTGGAAGTATATCTGAACATAAAGATGCATATTACTTTCAGAAAATATCTGGACGAAAATTTTATTTTGGAAACATTTGCCTTATGAATAGAAGTTCATGAGGCCTATGAATTTTTCTGACTTTCCCGATCACGAAGCCTAGAGGAGCACTGCAGAGAGCTAAACACGGCTGCAGCGTCTGCAGGAGAACCTGTGCATGGAGAGGAGCTGTTCTCGTCCTGACCCAGAATAAACCGTGTATTTTCACCTTGACTTATGTACTCATTCTTTTCGTAAACACTGATCATTATGCCAAGTAGTCATTTTAAAGGAGTAAACGGTTTCTTCCATATGTGTTCAGTTTATTCTCAGATTTTTAAGGTTATGAGTTTAAAAAGTGAATCACAAAAGACATCTTTTTGAAGTTACTGTGATGTGTTACTTTTTAGTCCCTTTCGAATGATTTGTCTTTATAAAGCGTGATTTTCAGGTGATGGACCTAGGAATCACTGTCAGTGTTTGTTACAACGTGGATTCCTAGGTTTCACCTCCAAGGATTTTATTTCAGAAAATCTGGGACTCTTCCTCTTTAAATCCCACTCCACGTGATTTTGATACAGGAAGTATGTAGATGACCCTTTAGAAAATACTGCTTTTTCAACCACGTGAAGAGATGTGTGAAGATACTGACGTACAGCAAGATTGGTGGATGTTCTGAAAAAATCCTGTTGCATCTAATCTCCTATCAGTTGAAAGGATGCTTTTGAAAAGAACTTTGTAAAGCACCATGCTTTTCAGCGGTCATTTTTATACTACTGATTGTTACTATTGTGTTTTGAAGCAAGCGGGCTGTGATCACGTGTTAAACTCCAAGGCCAGGAGAGACAAATGTGGAGTGTGTGGTGGGGACAACTCCTCCTGCAGGACAATGGCAGGTGTCTTCAACAGTGCTCATTATGGTAAGCTGTATATTTGTCTCTAGTTTTCTCTTTTATTTGATATAATAATGGAGTATATGATAGAGGAATAATAATAATGGCTCATTATTGTTTCATCTAGTCTCTACTCTTAGTTCAAAATTATTGTTAATCAAATCTTATACCAGATGATCACTGAATTAATGAATTTACCTGCTCAAGACTAATCTGATTCTTAAAAATTTATTAGGGTCATTTGTTAGAGTATATCTAGTACATTTTGACAATGATGTGTGAATAGTCCGCCCAGTTAATGAAGTGTTTTTACTGCTATTCTTGTAATCCGTGTTGTATATATTTATAATTTTTCCAGGAAATTTGCTTTCAATTATGTTTAATCATTTGAACCACATTTTTTTGGTGTGACCTGGTCTATCTGGTTGTGTTTCTTATTGATAACATACTGAAACCGATTGAAGGTGAAGGATAAAACCATTATCAATGTTGATTTGGAATGAGCGTTACATTTGATCTTCCAAGAAGTATCTGAATTAAAGATATAATTGCTATTTGGCCATATTTTCATTTCCTTTCAAAATTATTATGAGAATATATTATGTCAGCTATTTTCTATTAAATTTTCTGGGAAAACATTTTTTCTTTTTATGGCAATAAAAGCAGCCCTTTAAAACTTTCTTTGCAAAATAAAACTGTATGTTTTACAATTTTATTGTTCAGCATTAAACCGTATTCATATGTTTCTGAACATAGTTGTTAGCAAGAGTTGTTTCAATTAAAGCAGTAGAATTGAAAACACAATTTATATTTTTATCTATATAAAAGTATAGTACCTCTCATGCTCTGGTCATGCTTATGAATCTTGATTACTAGATAATTTAACATTATTTTCCTGGTTGTTATGATTCATTGTTTCATGAGAGCCATCTAGATTTAACCCTCTTTTCTAACCAATGGCACACATTTGTCAAAGTCTGGTCTGTATTCACACAAAAAATTTTATCTGTGTATAAAACCGCATGCACCAAATTAGGATCATATATTTAACTTTTCCAAACTGTACTATAAATTAACCAGTTTGCAAATGGAAAAAAATGGCATTTGTCACACTATTGCCCCCTGGTGGTAGCTTTCATCCTGTCATCTTTGCAAAGTCTAGGAATGCTTTCTTAAAAAATAGCAAAGACATAATAAATAGGGGAGGTAGTAGGAATATTTTAGAGTAAAAAAAATCATGAATCAAAATTATTGTTGTAGACTTATAACCTACAGCCAATATGCATAGAGGGTATACAGAATCATCAGACCATTTATCCCCTTATATTGAATATGATGTCGTAAAGAGATATAAATAAATAAGGCTGCTCTGAAAACATGCAAGGTAATCTCATATCAGGGTTGCAAACTTAAGCTCTTTTAAAACTTCCTCTTCTCAAGTTCACTCCATATTTATTAAAATTAGTTTATGAGAAAATTTCAGCCCCTTTTGTTTATGTATTGAATAAAGAGGAAAACCCTAATAAGGAACAGGAAAAACTTAGAATAACATCACTAGAGCAAAATTAATTGTTGACTTAAAACCTGAGAGTATTTGGAGAATTATGTAACGTGAGTGGTTTTAGTGCCAAAAACAATGTTCTTTCTTATTTAATATGTATTTGATACAGTATTTCCTCATCTTTTCAGCATTGCCAGTGTTGTTGAATTTGGTCTCATAAAACAGAAATATTTTCATTTCTCTCATAAACTTTTTACTTTTCTCGTGGCATTTGTTAGTAGACCTTAAAAAATAATGTAAAAATTTTGGGGCGCCAATAGGAATTCCTGCTTACACTAGAACCTAAAAGCTTAAGAAGAATGTTTCTCTTTACCTTGCATTATTTTACTATTCACTGAGTCTGTGTACACATATAGCAGTGACTGACTATTTTTATATCTCCTGGATTTGTGAATAGCATTTGGAATCCTGTATTTTTTCCCATTTAAAAACTATAAAGTGTAAAAGTATTGGTCAAATTTAAAAATGAGTATGTGTATTAAGTATTTCATCAGCTAAAATACTAACTTTCTTATTCTATATTCAAAATTTTAGAAGTAAGAAAAATTAGGAAATGCACTTTAAGAATCCCAAACTCTATATATTTCTAGACAACAAGCCCTTTTCCTTAATCCCTGGTAATTTGTATAAGGTATGGATTCAAAAAGAATAAGCACTGTGTTGTCTTTCAAAGAGAAGATGCAATTAAGTCTGACTATGCTATTCACATTTTTCATTCAGCACCACTAGCCTCTGGGCCATCTGCTTTTTGTGACAGTTAACATGTATAAAATTATATTGCAGGTTATAATGTCGTTGTAAAGATTCCCCCAGGAGCAACAAACATTGATATTCTTCAGCACAGCTATTCTGGAAAACCAGAAGATGACAATTACCTTGGTAAACATTTTCAGTTAAACAGCAGCCAGCCTGTGGTTTGCGTACAAGCTCATGGCGGTCTGTGGTGGTTGTAAATTCTTGGAAAGCAGGCAAGGAGAGCCCTGAAACAAACATGCAATTTCAGTTCATAAGGAGCTTAAGTCATCTGACTCCCCTATATGTCTTTCCTTCTTGGATATCTATTATAACCTATTTGAAAAATGTTGAACTAAATTCTGAAAAGTAAATTTAACATTTTTCCCCCATGAGGGTGTTCTAGATAACCAAAGCTTATATTCAGTTAAAGTCGTATGTGTATTTAGAATAAAATGCTCTTTTATCTTTATCTAAAATGAATTCTAGATCTTTGGGGTTAAGTGTCTTAAAGAATTTTCTTAGATGTTTTTACCATGTAGTAAAAGTCTTTAAATGCAATTTTTTTAAGCTGTAGCGTTATATGGCAAGGCAGAAGGAGAACTATGGTTTCATATTTTTAGATGCGAATGAATATAGTCATAGTATATTGTCCTTTCGCTGTTTCTAGAGTATACATTTCAGTTGTTATTTACTTGGCAAAATTAGCTTTTAGGCTTAAAGAATTTCATTTAGACCCAAAAATGAAAAGATGGCTTTACAAACCTTTCCCTTCTGTCTGATCAATACCTTAATGTTGACGTCTCTGTAATTCACCAAACTGGAGTAGGTGGTGATGTAGAGCTGAAAATGAGAAAGTGCCTGCTTCGCATTAATGAAATGTGAAATATTGGCTCAAATAATCAATGCCTGTAACTGGGAATCTGAGTCCATAATGAACAAATCTATCAGTAGTTGATTTTGAAATTATAGAGTCAATTTGCAATGAGAACAGCTGTGTAATGGATACAGATTTTCCTTTTGGTGATAAAAACGTCTTAGAACGAGGTAGAGGTGGTGGTTGCGCAATGTTCGTGAATGCCCTAAATGCCATTGAGGTGTTCGCTCTGAAGTGGCTAATTTTATATTATGCCAATTTCATCTCTGTGAAAAAATGCAAAACGTTTCCTAGAGAAAGTCAGATGTAAATGTTTTGATTAACCTTTTACATTTAGTGGCAATTCTTTTTTCTTTTGCTAAAGTATTACCTCAATGCATATACACAGATATATGCCACTGTACTGGAGATAATTTAGTCTGTCTCCCTTAGGCTCCTCCTAGGGAGATGTTCGCATTCTCCTAGGGACAACAAGTTCTGCCCAAGTTTAAAAGTTGTGAATACACACTCTAGTACATACTCTATTATATACATATGTAAACATAGATAAATATCTACACTGTAAATATGTAGTATATAGATAAATATCCACACATATGCCTGTTTGACAGGATTCTATTAACACCTGTCAATGGGAAAGAGAAAGAACTAGAAGATGCAAGAACACAGAGGCAGAGGGAGCATGCTGGAAAGCAGTCACTCCGTAGGCATGAAGGGTGATAGACTGCCTCGTCTTGAGAAAGATCTAGGCATTTGCAGAGAGAAGACAGGAGATGCATGGCCTTTTAGAACACTGACCCTCAGCTGTTGGAGCTTCGTACATCTTTTAATGCTGCAGCAGTCTGACTGCCCTTTCCTTCCTCCCCACTGTTGACCAGGATTGATTTATCTGATCTGTCTGCTGGCCCATGACCTCTTTCTGTTTCCCCACTTCCCGTATGTCCCTCCTGGAGGCTGCATGCCTGGTGGAAGATGACCATCTCAGAAAGAACAAATTATAGCGTGAATTCATTTTCGTGGCTTTGGCCAGTGTGCTGAAGTTTCCCTGCTTCTGGATTAGATAGCCCTCGACAGTAAAATAAAGTTTATTTTCTCAGTATGAATTTATATTTCCATTCTCTAATTTCAGAAAAGGTGTTTGATGGTAAAAGTTAAAAATATTTCTGTCCTGTTGACTGGTTTTGCTATTTCATGAGCTCTGTCCTTTTACAGCCTTGTCAGACACTCAAGGGAATTTCCTTTTGAATGGCAATTTTGTTGTAAGTATGTCCAAAAAAGAAATCAACGTGCAAGGAGCTATTTTTGAATACAGTGGTTCAAACAACTCAATTGAAAGAATTAATAGTACTGATCGGCTGGAAGAAGAACTTGTTTTGCAGGTAAATTCTCAGTAGTTGTTAATGAGACAGTCTCAATCAGATAAGTTAACTGGGATGCTTAAGTGCTTTGCATTTATTACTAAACAGAAAAATGATCTTTCAAGAATATATCTTTTACGATTTAATCATTTGCTCCTTTGTGTTTTTATTGAGGTTTTGTGTGTGGGTAATCTGTACAACCCCGATGTGCGTTATTCCTTCAACATCCCCATGGAAGAGAAGAGCGATCTGTTCACATGGGACCCATATGGACCATGGCAAGACTGTACAAAAATGTGTCAAGGTACCCTGGTATTAAATAAAAGACAGAAGTTTAGCTGCGCATGCGGGTATAATCTGGGGCACTGCTGAGTCTGCCTGCCTGTGGAATCCACGCACATACACCTCACAGACATACAAAGGTTTCCTATCTTTTTTCTCTTCCTGCTTTTTCATTCTTTGCTTCTTAGACTTAGCGGCCTCCTTTATCTCTGTCCTTCTCAGCATTCTCCATCCCTTCTCCATCCCTTTTCATTCTCATCCTCTTTCTCAGAGTCACAGAAGTTAGACGTCCCCCTAACTGGGATTCTGTTACCCAGTGCAATACCCACCCACTTGTCCATTCCCCTCCAGCCACCCGTCTCCCTGTTTTTGAGTTGGGGCACCAGCATCCTTTCCTTCTTCTATTTCCCTTCCCTGACCACAAGGACATGTGTTTGTCCTGATGGATGAATAACAGAAAGCAGCACAGGGGGAAATGGAAAAGCAGTGAAGTTTACAGCAGAGAAAGCAAATGAAGGGCTGGTGCCTTTGGGCGGTCTGTAATTACGGATACCTAATTGTGTGATCCTCCTGCATTTGTTCAAATCAGTAAATGTTCATTGAAGGACTCTTTTGTTTTGGGTTATTAGGACCCTGATTTTGCGTTCAGTTTTTAAATCCCGGTGGAGGAAACAGAGTCACAAGTAGATTATCTTAATTTTAAGTGGTAAATGCAGTGTGCATGCAGGTAGGCAAGGAGAAGACCCCGGGAAAGATGGAGGGAGCAGTTCGCAGAGGTTAAGTGTGAAGATGTAGAGAAGTTTGAGGAGAACAGAAAAGTAGTTCCCCTGGGGACTAGAGCCAAGGTTTGGGAATGAGGGGAGCAGTGCATCAGAGGACGGCCTGGAAATGAGCCTGAGAGAAGATGGAAGACCAAGGGCAGTGACCACAGGTGATGGGGACATTGTAACCAACTGACCTCAAGGTGCCAAAGGAACCGTGGTACCCCATTCAGAAAAAGGCACAGGCTTGGTCCTGTGGTGTCGGGACAGTGGCGCCTGGATGATGGCGTGGAAACAGGCATTCCTGTTGAGCAATGTGTCAGGGGAGGGAGACTGAAGTAGATGATGCCAGGCTGACAGGGGACAAGACCCTGGATAGGCTTCCCGGAAGAAAGCTGAGGCTTTGGGAACTGGGACCAGGGTTCCAGCATAGCTTGGTGACCTGGTCTGTGGCAGAGGATGTGGGGAAGCGAGGAACAAATTCCAAGTCACAGGTGAATGAAGGAACTTTGTAGAATGTGGGGAACACACCAAGTAAAGAGTAAGATCCTAAATGAAAGGTTGGACACCTTTTAGGCGCGTGGAGATTGTCTGGGAGTCCGAACCAGGACAAGTCTCTTAAACAACTATGTACAGTGGGGAGAGGAGCTATTAATTCAGTTGCCACAAAGTATGCTGCGATTACAGTCCCTTTTTGGTGTAACTTTTTGGTTTCTCTAAAGTGAAGCTTCCTGGGTTTTATTTACTCGTTTTGCTGTGCCCTGGAAATGATCAGTCCCCAGACTCTTTGTGAGCACTCTGACTTTCGTCTTACTCTTTTGAAGCACATTATCCCGTCTGTCGGTTTCAGTTTCCCTTCACGTCTTCTCATCTCTTGCTACTGTGGCCCTCTTCTCTCTTGCTTGAATTTGGCTGTGTTGCTTCTCAGGCCTGTGGCACGGCTGTCATGACGCACTCACTCTCCTTTCCCCTCCTATGAATTCTCTCCAGCTTTCTTCTGAGTTGGATTCCCTGCGTACTGAATCCCATGAGTTCCTCTTTTTATTTCCTCCATGGGGCTAGGGGTGGAGGGGAACATATCTGTACTTTCTTGAGCAAGAGAGGCAGTTTTCTGAGACCTTTCCAATCTGAAAGTGGCATTGATTCTAGTCTCACATTTGACCGATAGCTTGGCTCGTGTAAGATTCTGAGCTAGATTGTTTTCCTTTAGAATGCTGAAAATCTGTTTTTCTGGCATGTTTTCCGATTTCCTGTGCTTGATTGTGACACTTTCTTGTGTGGACGTGTCGTAGGTCCTCTCTCAGTTCTGATGATGCGGAAAAAATGCAGGACAGCGAACATCGGCGTGGTTCTGTCTTTTGTCTATTTTCCTAGATAGTTAGGATGCCATCCCAATTTGGAAACATAGACTCCTTGACTTAAGGAGTCTTATGTGTGATTTCTTGGATAATTTCTTGACACTAAATTTTCTCTTCTATCTTGGTAAAATTTGTGTTGTCTGGATGCCCAACCTCCTGAACTCATCACTTACTTTCTGATTTCTTCTCCCAATGTATGTTGTTTTCTTAATGTTTCTTCTCATACCAGCTTGCTTTCGTTTCGTGGATGCAATACCTATGTCCTTGAGAGTACTGCCTGTCGCTTGTAAGTTTCTGCTTCTCCCTGACATGTCTGTTTCATCTTAGCGCCATTTTGCCTCTGCTTATTTCGGTCTCTTTTGTGTTGGTGGCTTTCTTAAGATGCCTGCTGATCCTTTGGTCTGTCTTCATACTTCAGGCTGCAATGATAATTGAAGGTCCTGTGTGGATGAGACAAGTCAAGCTTCATTATAGAGTAGTTGCATCACTAAGTCACCCTTTCCTGTGTCACTGGGGGAGAAGCCCATATGTCATTGTCGTGGGATCTTTTTTCTTGGGCTGAAGAGCTTTCCAAGAAGGGAATCCTCCCATCTTCTTCTGGTCAGCAAGACATGTGGGGATCCATAAAAGCTGGCTTGGGGCCAGAGGGAAATGGAGGGAGAGCCTAGCGGGCCTGGATCTCGGCTTTCAGTATGGAGTTTTTTACTTAATCCCCCTTTTTCAGTACTGCGCTCCCCAAGTTCCCTCAGCCATGTCTGTGCCCTCAAGTTCACCTTCTCTAGAACTGTGCCGTCCAGTATGGTAGCCACTAGCCACATGTGGCTAGCCCATTGAAATGTGGTGTTAAGCGTGAAATGCAGAATGAATTCTGAAGACGTGGTATGAAAAAGGAAGGTAAACTATATCACCAGTGATGTTTATACTGGTATCATGTGGAGGTGATCCTATTTGGATATTTTGGGCATGTGTATCTTTTTACTTCTTAATGTTACTACTAGACAATGTAAACCTACATGTGTGGCTCATGTTCTGTTTTTATTGGACGGTGCTCCTCTTGACCAGAAGGTAGCAGGCTAACCGTTCTTCGTAAATACTTCTCGATCGGCTCTCCATCCTGCCAGGCCTAGCCCTCACTCGTTCACCCCTTCAGAGGAGCCTGGTGATTTTGATCCCTGGGCTCTGCTTGGATTCTGAGGCATGAATGGTTAGCTTCTTACTCGCTTTCTTCCTCCGTGGGCTTAAGTTTCAGCTTCCTTGGCTTTGTTAAATAGTTATTTCCATCTTCTTTTCGTATTCAGAATTTCCTTTTCTTGCCTGCTGTGTTTCCTTCTTTATAGTCTTTTTTGTTCATTCTGGTTGTTGCCTCTTCAGAATTCCTTCTAGTTATTTCAGATGGTGTTTAGGAAGGGGCAGAGATAAACAGGCATGTTCATGCTTGGCTGACTGAAAGTGTTCAGTTCAGCGTTGATAAAACAGAAATGTGGTTGTGTCGCTGACTGCTTAAACTCCTTCCTGTCTCCTTGTTGCAGAAAATGTGAAGTTCAGTCTGGCCACTTACAACCGCTCCTCTTAGTTTGCTTGCACCGTGGTTATGCTGCAGACGGACAGCCAGCAAATCTCAATGACCCAGAACAACAAAGATTTATTTCTCTCTCAAGCTGTATGTTGGCTGCTTTTGGCTGTGACTCTTCCCCAGCTTGGGATCCATGTCCGTGTCATTTTCAAAAACAAATTAATAAATTGCTTATATGTAGAATCCAAAAAAAGGACACAAACGAACTACTTATTATTTATAACTTAGATGATTGATTTCTTGAATACGTGTAAGCACATTTGACTGTCCTTTATGACTGATTTACTGCATTCTGTTGATTCTTATTTTGTGGTTGGCCTTATTCCTTTGATAACTATGTAAGTTTAAAAAGCTAAAGCTCTAAACTGTTCTTAGAAACAGTGAACAGTACATATACATAAATTTTAAAATGGTTTTATCTCTCAATGAGTTGATCTTCCTAGAATATACTTTGTTTACCCCCTCCCCACCAAAAGAGCAGGAATATTTTTGACAGCTCAAAAAAAATAGATATCTAAAATACATTTTCCTTCAAAGTTAGATTAGTTATGGTTTCATCCAAGTTTCTTGATTTAATCCACCCATTTGCAACTCATTCTGATACTTAAAAAAGTAAGCTATTGATATTTCCAATCCTTAACCCACAAACAGATCACAATTTTATTATAGTCTTAGCACAATATCTATGCAATAATCTGCCACAATAATTCTATGTTGATAAATAGCATATTTAATTTATATGTGTTTAAATATACATGTTTTAATAGCTGATGATCTCAGAATGTGATGATTTAGAGTATTTTGGAAAATTTTAAAACTTTGCATCTCCATTTCATTTATTTTATACTGTGTGTAGTAAGGCAACATTAAATAAATATATATTGTTTAAAAAATTAATACTTTTTTAAAGAGTGGTTTTAGAAAAGTTGAACAGCAAGTACAGAAAATTCCCATAATCTCCCGTCTTCCACTGCCCCCTCCTGTTTCCCCATTTATTAATGTCTTGCATTAGTGTGGCACATTTATTACAGTTGATGCATTATGATTAACTAAAGTCCATAGTTTACATTAGTGTTCACCTTCTGTGCTGTACATCCTGACTTTTGACAAATGGACACTTGTAATGACACTTATGCACGATTACAGTATCATACAGAACACTTTCACTGCCCTAAAAATCCCTCTCTCTACCCCTGCTCTAACCTGTGACCACCACTGATCTTTTTATTGTCTGTCTGTGCCGCCTTTTTCGTTCATGATTGCAGGCTGAAAGATCAGCCCCATCTGGGAAAGGCTGTTTTAGCGACAGAGGGAAAAGGGAAAGAGATTTTCGCAGAAGCATATAGTGGCTTTTATTAGAGCATCTCCTTGGCGCTGGAATAGGTTACATCCCCTTACAGGTCGTTGGCATAAGCCTGATGTCAATGGGTAGGAAAGTCTCCTCCTCCTGCAGAAAGTTAGAGTAACATTGTAGCAAGTGGAGATGTGTAATTTGGGGAACGGGAAGCAAATAATGGGGAACAGTAGTCTAGTGAATCATGCATGATCAGCTTCCAACCCTGACCACTCAGTTCTCCACTAACCACCCCCTTCCATCCAGCTGTAATGAATTTCTTTCTTCTCCATACCTGTCCCGCCTTCCTTACGTCTCCTTGCTAAGTTAACTCGATCTTTCAGGACTCAGACTGCTTATCATAGAAAATCATTCTTGACTAGATCAATATGCCAGCCTGTTTGTGTGCTATGTTGGAATTTTTTGCTTTTGTAGCTGAATCCTTTAGGCTACTAGCAGAATTAAATAATTATGTGACATCTACTTATGTGAATTCTCCTTTTATTTTTAATTTTCATTTGGCTTTGGCCAAGGTCTTCATAGAAGAAAAATTACCTGCGTACGTAAGAGTGATCATACGGTAGTGTCTGATCAAAGATGTGACCACTTACCACTTCCATTGTTGGTGACTGAAAGGTGCAATACAGACTGTGAACTAAGGTAAGTCAGAGAGAACTAATGTATCATGTAACCAGTGTATAATGAAGCCAGATTAAAATCAATAAGTAAGATAAGCTGCAGGCATCTAGTTCAGTGCCTGGCACAGGGTAGATGTGGAATTAATGCCTGTCCTTTGTCCCTTCCCTTAAAAAACTTTAGACTCACTGACTTTTTTGTGAAACTCGGCAGTTGGTTTGAATTTTTATTCATAGTATTTGCTGAATACCAGTATATGGTCTTCAATATTTTGTGTAAAAAATGGAAGCAAATTTGTCTATAAAATAAATACAGGAAAACTCAAATATGAAAACCCATGGTTTGAAGATCTGAAATAATAAATTTTATAGCATGATTCTATACTTCCCTTGGAACTCATGACCCGATAAGCTTTCATTTTTTTAAATTTATTTTTTATTTTCTTTTTAGTGGAGGTACAAGGATTGAACCCAGGGCCTCGTGCATGCTAAGCATGTGCTCTATCACTGAGCTCTACCCTTTTTCCCCAATAAACTTTTAAGGATCGAGGATTAGAGAATCAATAGATT